ACTCGTGACTTGCAGTTGGACATACATTGGATATGTTAACTCAATACGTAGATATTTTTTTTTATTGAGATTATTACACTATCGCTAATAGTTATTAATTTGTTAATTTATTAAACAAAATCAATTGTAAGTCTGTACTAAAGCCATTAATAAATTTTCTAGATTAGACTTATATTAAATCTTAAAGGCGGAATAATATGTAACAAATGTGTAAGTAAGTAAGTTAAACATTAATAGAAATGTGTGGTACATATTTAACAAAAACAACAGTAGAAATAAAAGAAATAAAAGATGACTCTACTCCACCTGATTTTAAATGGTAAGTGGGATCCAAACGTAGATACCTTTATCTAGTGCAGTGTTCATATAGTCGCTGCCCTAGCCACCTGCATGCCTACAAGATGCCTCTTCACGCCTCGTTTGAAGGACCCCATATCATAAGAAACTATAGAAACTAAACTAATAATTTCATGTGCCGCCTCTCTGAGTTGCACGAAATTTATGTGTGAAATTGAATTTGAAATTTACCATGAGTTTTGTTACTTGAGTTACCAAGGTTCACAGCCCTCGGAAAATTTGGGCCAGTGTGGCGGTCTATGGCCTAAACTTGAGAGAGACCGGTGCCCAGCAGTGGTTTTTTCAAATGGGTTGATGTTGTAATGGAACGTATAAAAAGTACTAGTTGTTTGGTTTTCCACCACTGCCATTTTTCGGGTAATTTAAGAACAAAAAAATTCTGTTTATTTATAAAATACAGTTTTAGTTCGTATGATGATCTTGTCGCTATCAAAGTCACGTCCGTTCAAAGAATTTTGTAAAGTATGAAACAAAAAATCTGACGGGCTATGTCGGGCGACTGAGATAATACATTCCAACCTAGTTGCAATAGTTTGAGCCGGCTTTGTAAAAGTGCATGTGATTTGGCATAATTGTAATGAAATAGACACCACGATTATGACATCTTTACGGTTTGCTACTTCTGGGCATTTTTAATTATATTACAAATTTAAAATTTTCCCGCCTATTCTTAAAATAAAAATTATATTTTCATCACACTTGCTTGTAAACAGTGTAATGACGTGCCGGCAAAGGCGACCGTAATATCCTAAATTATGCAGACGGGCTTTTTCATTACATAAGGATTTGATTTTCTACGACAAGATTAAACAAAAAGTTTTTAAGCTCGAAAAATCTGAACGTATATTGATAATTTGAAGTATAAAAAAAACGAAATATGTACAATTTATCTATATACTTTACTAAATTTATGTTGTGAATTGAAATTTTTCAGTGTGTTTAGAATTTTGAAATTATTTGTTTTAATTCTTCTTCCTTCTTTTATAACATTTTGGTTCGAGTTGTTTATCTATGGAAGAATAGCTGGCAATCTGTTTAAAAAAAAAACAATAAAGCCACCATTTGCAAAAACCGTAAACGTTGTGTTGTGAAGCGATATTTATTCATACAAGAAATAAATTGTCGCTGTATCTATTTTCTCGCAAATGTGATGAAAAACATTGTATGTAGCACGGGCGGTAAAAATTACAAACTTCGAGTCATTAAAAAATGTAATTGTTTGTTTCAAGTTAGCTAGCGGCAAAAATAGCAATGTCTTTTTGGCTAACCCATTATTACAACTATGACGATAACAATAAGAATAATAATCCTAATAATATATCCACTTGTTATATGCATAAAAAGTTAAGTTTGCATACCTAGTGTGCGATGCGAAATCGAAAAAGTTATATATGTGGTATATCGTAGGTATATAAAGATGTCGCCTAGAATTATTGTACGAAGGAAAGACCTTGGGTGACTTGGTCTAGACTTGAGTGTCTCGGGTACAGACTCATTTAAATTCTCAGAATCAAGGACTGCTTTCTGATACAGGTTAATGATTTCCGCAGATTGTAACGTGTGACATTAGTATTGGAATACCAGTACTAAATATCAGGCGTAAAATGTACAGAAAAAAAAACATTAAACCTCAATTTATATTACATTTAAAATGAAAAGAATTTAAATTCTACTTATGTAATGCGGTCTATAATAACTGTTAGCACATATGAAATTACAGAGTCATTACATATCCATGAGGAAATGTGTCTGTCCATTGGCGACACGATATCTAATCGTCGAAACATAAAATACTAATCAGGTTTATCAGATAACACAAGGAATAATAATGTGACGAGGAAGTAACTATCACGGGGATTAATCCAATACGAACAATGCAATGACCCATTGGACTTTCCCTATGAAAAATCGCAATAGAATTCAGTCAGGCCTTATCGTTCAAATAATATTTGCAATATGGTGCCATTACAATTCCGCAATAATTTATCAGATATTATAATTAACAAAAAATATCGCATACATTACATCTACGCATACTACGGTGCAGAAACATCGACTCATACTAAGCAAAATATACACAAAATTAAGGTAGCACATAGAGCGATAGAACACTCTATGATAGATAGATAGTAGATATCTACATTTCTCTCGTGGATCGAGTAACAAAGGTCGATGATGTGTGTAATCGATCGAAATTATTTACCTCCTACTACTATATATAGCTAGGGGCTATCCGCACACGCGTAAATGCGTGCGTCAAGTGGCAGGGTTACCCATCTTCGGGAGCCCTGGCGCAAGCTAGGGCGGCCGGGCGGCGTCGTGGTGAATGTTCACTGATCCCACGGCGCCGACTCAACCGGCGAGAGGGAAACCCGGGGGGGTTTTAGTGGGGTAGGCCTTCCAGTGTGGAGGGAGAGTCCCCACATAACCCCTGAGTCTCCCTGGGCTCAGGGGTATCCATAAAGATTTCCCCCCGTCAAAAAAAAAAAAAAAAAAGGGTTACCCATCTTCCTGGCGGAGGTCCGCACCTACCGGCGGGGAATGAGGAACCGAGGCGAGCGACCTGCTCCCCAAGAGGTGAAGCGGGAGCGCCGCCTTGCGGCGCAGCGCATGCGGGACCGGTGGAAAGAGGGCTTGGCGGATCCCCCCTATGGCGCTCGTACCATAGAGGCGATCCACCCTGTCCTCGTAGAGTGGAGAAACCGGTCCCACGGGCCACTGTCGTACCACCTTGTACAGGTGCTGACCGGGCACGGCTGCTTCGGCCACTACCTGCACAAGGTGGCGAGGAGGGAACCGTCCCCGTCGTGTCACGAGTGCGGCGCTGCGGATGACACCGCGCAGCACACTCTAGAGGTGTGTAGCCGGTGGGATGAGCAGCGCCGCACTCTGACGGGGACTGTAGGGCAGGACCTCTCGCTGCCGAGCGTGGTTGCTGCCATGCTCGATAGCGAGGAGTCCTGGGAGGCGGTGGCCTCCTTTTGCACAGAGGTTATGTCGCAAAAGGAGGCCGCGGAGCGGGTGCGCGAGGACGCGGCGGACGCGCACCCGCTTCTCTCGAGAACCCTTCTCTAGCTCACGAAGTTAATGGCGCCTTATTATATTGACAAAATAAATTTGTATTATATATTACTCTGCACTAAAGAAAACAATAACTGAATGAATCTCAGATAAGACAAGATTTTTAACTTACTTCGTTTCATCTTTCAAAAACGAAAGAAACCCTCTCTTTATCCCGCTTATATGATTATAAACAGTCGTACATAGCACAATTTACGACCATTATAAATAGTAACGTAAAATGCTGTAATATATTAACGCACAAATTTCGTAATGTAAAAATGAAAACTATATTCAAATATTAAAGCCGTCTTAGAGCGAAAATGGCTCGCTGACAGCCTTGTTCTCGTTCAGTTAATATGACCGTCAATGTGCGGGTCGTGGTGCGGTATATAAAGCTAGGGAGGGGCGGAGATTGTCTGTTCTCATTACTTATTTGTTCTCTGTCACGGGGTTAAGGCGGAAATGGGCGGGACATTCGGCTAGACGAGAAGACGGACTATGGACCAAAGCAGTCACGGAACGGTGGTTAAGAGGAGAAGGGCCATGAAAGAAGCAATAAAAAAGAGGCCTACACTCAGCAGTGGTTTGATGCAGGCTAAAATAACGGTGATGATATCTACGTCCGTCTCCCGTTGATGTAAGTAAAGACTATAAGCCTCCAGAACAACAACGCTGACGTTTTAACCTTTTTGCACCTGTTTATTCTTGATACTTTTAACTGTTTAAAGTATATTCTTAACCTGGTTGCGATACGCACGCTGAAGTCGACCTTTTCTTACGTTTCCATCCACATGTAAAATATCCTTATTCTATCATCGGCGTAGTTTTCCATATAAAAACCAGCTTCCAAAGCATTCCTAACACATTATAGATTACATATACTTCGTAGGTACACGTTATTAATACTAAATACTTCAAAATTGAGATAACAAAATGCCATTTCAATTGCGTGAACGAATATTTAATTGCGGTCATTGATACGAGTAGATATCTTTAAATTCTTGTAGAATTAACTACAAAAAGAATGCTTGTTTAATCATTATTATGAAATCAATTAAGGAGCTTGTTGAAATGCGTCAAAATAAAAAATCAGTTAGGTACAAGTAGAAGTATCCAATAAATACCACACACATATTTTCGTAAACGTACATTTGATAAAATTAAGTCATAGATTGTAATCACGACAGATGTAACACGCAACTGCGAAGCGTGTGCCATGTGCATGCGTGTGAGCGTCGTAATCATTCAAATACACGCTTAAAATGGCGAAATCATGTCCCGAAATCGTTCCGCGAACCTTTAGCCGTAGCCGTGTGCCGTGTCATAGCGTGACGTCGCTTGTCAGCTGTGTGTATCGTGACGTCATGGCCAGGCCCACAGAGTTGGCCCACTCGTTGACTCAGGCTTTATAATAGAAAAGCGGCGAGCAGATTTCCATACCACATCAAGACAGCAAACGAGAAACACGTATACGTATAGTACAAAAGTACTTACAAGTTGAAAAGTTAGTTGAGCTCTTGAAGTGACACGCAGTGATAGTGACAGTGATCTAAGTGATTGCGCAGACAGTGACAGTGACAATGGCGAGAATATTGTTGTTAGTGATATTGGTGACTGTTGCGGCGGAAGCTGCGCATAAGCATCATCCAAAGTTCCCTAAATCAAATGAAGAATATGTTGTTCCAGAAATTAGGAAAGGTGAATATTTTTTGCTATCAGTTTGTCACGACTTTTTTATAATTTTTTTTTTAATATGAATAGATGCGTATGACCATAAATATTCTTAACATTCAATTAAAAATTTTGTTTGTAATGAAATTTTAACTAATTCCCGAATAATAAATTCAATCATTTTAAAATACAACGAATAACATTGATTTAATTTTTTCAGTATTGTTTGAAACAAAAGGTACTTACTTTTTTTTACGATTATTCAATATAATAAAGGACTTTAAGTAGAGCGTTCAAAACCAACAATGACTATGCCAAAAAGCTACCTACTTGATAATATTTAAAAAAATGATGCAATGAGCGTCCTACTTAAATGATCAGAGATACCAGAAGTTTCGTGTTCAGCGGTGACACGAGCCGTACATATCAACGTTGAACATACATTATTGGGACCAAAGTGACGAAATATTAAACTGCGAATCATTTGTTACCAGTTGCCTGTTCATCAGAGAGCGAGAGGTTACGGAGTGATATAATAGAAAAATCAAAATGCGGCCTTCCCAAGGACATTTTTATAGACCTGAAACCGCAAGCCGCACACCAGCAGGTAACAATTAATTAATAACTTAACCGTCTGCAATATTTAACAATTAACAGTAATTGTGAGGCGCAGTAAAATGTTATCTCATGACCTCATTAATTAGAAACCGGCTATCGCTCAAGTTTGATATTTGCCAGTCGGATCACTTTAAAAAATCTTTCACTTTAGTTCTTAGAATAACAGCGTTCGCATTGTACTTTGTATTCTCAATTACAACGATTAATTTGTCACGAATTAAAGCCTCGTTGCATAATCTGTCACGAAGTTTATCTAAAACCTGGGAATGATTACAATCTTACGTGTGCTTAGTTCGGCAGTCAAATATTTGAATATGTTGTGGGCAATGTCGTTTGCATCCGCAATGTGGTCATTAAGGCCGCGTGAGAAAATCCGCATTGACTTGTACTTACGTGAGCGTATTTCCCCAGATAAGCCCCGGTGCCGTTTGGGTGAAAAGATGCGTCGGGCTCTGCGACTATGACACTTATGGCTCTAAGTGCATCCCATTGAAGAAAACCATCACTCATATACCTGTAAGTACCTGTATTATCATCCCACATCCACTGGGAGTTAAAATATCATCAAAACGTTAGATAAATTTTCTTGAATTCTCTTACAGTGTTATCTGTTTTGTTTTATCTGGCTAATTCAGTTATATCCCTGACATAGTTAGCTATGTTTGTTTGACAACTTGACAGTTGCGCAAGCGACCGCTAATGATAATAATGACATAACATGAGTTTGAACGCCAAGTTCGAACAACGATTCAAAGGACATACCCTCCATTGTTTGGACATTTCTGTATTAGCAGAATTTAATTTTACAATGATGTTTTGAATCCTTAAACATGATTCCAATTGCTTATGTTTTTTGTTAACAGGTACGCATATACAATGTGAAAACGAATAAAGAGGCGTGTTCAACGTACGCGGTGGAAGAGCACCTCGAGTGCGGGTGCTGCCCGGGCACGCCGCAGTCGTGCCAGTCCCCAAGAGTATATGACCCTCGTAAGTGCACCTGTCGATGTCCCAACAGAAAGGAAAAGAGGAATTGTCGCAGCAAGGTAAAGATAATGGATGTCTAGCACTATTAACGAGACGGATGACGCATGTCGTTTGCATCCTCGTTTAGAAACACTGTCTCTGCTGTTAACATTGGCTTAATCACCTTCTGAATGTTGCATACACTTTTTAATTTCACTAAATGTTGTCCTTTCAAGACTAGGGTCATTCTCGGGTTAGTTATTCACTGCCTAATTTTCGTGGCAAGTTTTAGGATTCAAGTAATTTTCGTGAAATATTTAATAATAATTTAATAAATCACGATAATATTATACTTGAACACTAAAACAGTACACAATACCACGGAAAATAGGCAGTGAACACTAACCCGAGAATGACTGATTGCATTAATTGTACTTTATCCGTAAAACCTACTAAATGTTGTAACTTTGTTGTTTCAAAATTACTATACGTTGTATGTACTTCGCCCTTTCAAAATTCATGTAGGTGTGAGTTGTACGAGAATTCGGTTAAGACAACAGTACGTGTGTAAACACCTCGTGTATTGACTGTTGCCTTTTTTGGTTCCGTTTGCCGCTCGACATCCATTGTCTATCAACCTACCTGCTTTTACTTTAAACACAGTTTAATTTTAGCCACAAGCACGTGCCCCAAATCTATTTATAATCTTTAACAAAAATTATTATTAGCAATTTCTTTTCTGTGCACTTCAGTTAACTTGTGTGGATGTATTCAAATCAATGTCTCAATATACATTATTGTGTTTAGTTTAGTTATTTTGCAGATTTATAGTAGAAAGATCACGTGGCTTTTAAGCACCAATGCAGTAGTAAGATTGATTCTAGAAACTTAAACAGGGGGTTACCAAATGAAATAGCTAATACAGTTAGATCATTAATCCTCAGTGAAAGTTTTTCTTTTGTTGCAGCCGAACCAGATTATGAGGTGGAATCCGTCTAAATGCAGGTGTGAAGTCAAACCTAAGCGTCTCGTAACAAAAGTTGAAGTTTCTTCTGAAGTCAATTTGATTCATCATTTTAATGATATCTTTGTTTGATCAAACAAAACATCCCAATGGGTCAGGTAGAGCCTGTTTCAGAAGCCATCTTGCCAGTGCAGGGAGTAGAAAATATTCATGTAACTAGTACAAAAGTTACTTTGGATAAACAGTGTTGTGAAAGAACAGTGAACATTCGACTGATTTCAGTGGCTAATAGTTTTAAGTATTAACGAAATTTAAGCAGTATTATATTATTTAAGTTATTTATTTAGTTTAAGGAAATATGGGGCCAAAAGTGCTGTGAGTAGACTCACTATGAACTTTGTTCCATGAGTTTTATGGTTTATGTTTGTGTGTATTTAAGAGATTATAGGTATTTTGGAATTCTTCGTCTTAAGCGCCATTGTACGGCCGTTGAGTGTAATTAGGCGTTTAAAATAATGCCTTAGGTATTATAAGATAGGTATCAATTCCTTTTGTATTAGATCATTTAGTATTTAATTGTAAATTGGAGTATTCTGACATCGAAGTATCAGTATTTTAGTTATTTCTCTATATTATAAAATGGCGTATATTTTACGCAATTCCTGTTATTTGTGATATAGACATTTCCACTAGATTAATTTAGGAAAATTATATTAGGCAAGCATTTAATTGTAATTAGATAAAATATTAGTGTTGCTTCTAGTCAAGTGGGAATCAGTAATTTTTCGTTTAAGTTTTTTGATTTTGAAAATTTTCCGTAACACTGAATCGGTAGATTTCCATTTACTTTATTAAGCAAATTCCTAACCAAACATTAAAAACAAGAAGTTTCTAAAAAGGGTAGTTCCTTTTATTACCATAATTTTTAAAGAATAACAAATCATAGAGCCACGGTAATTAGGTTTTCAACCTCAGAAAAACTTAAACGCGAATTACCCTAGTATGAATTGTACTTAATTTAAAAAAATGTAAATAATGTATCGATTCGTGAAACAAGCTCTCTATGTAAATATTTGTGTTTCGGCTTCAAGACTTAGGTGAAATTTTGTCTCTTTTTTTGTATCGATAAGAGACCTAGTCTAACGATTGTGCCAAAGGCATCGAATCTCACTCTTTTCCTTATTTATTTTCCTATAATTTATTTGAATTTAAGCTTAAAAGCTTTAAGTGATCGAATCACGTTAATTTTAAAGTTTTGTACTTAATAGATTGTAAGATGAACAATAAAATTTTTACTTATTTTTATTGAAACTCACTCTTTTAATCTTTATCCTCACCTTCAAAAGAAATGAACAAATAACAGAATACTTAAAGATAAATTCTCTACTCCGCGTTATGTAAGTATCAATTGCCTAAAAAAATTAGTTGTTTTATTTGTGTTCTATTGTTTTGTTGTTGTATTTAAAGTGAAAAATTGATTTAATTTTGTTAACAGAGTTTAATGTAAATTTTGGTGCTGATTTCAAGAACGACAGACAGATTATTTTAACACGTAAGATTCTCTGCAAACTAAGGGAATTCTTTTAAGAAATATGAAAAAAAACACAAGTTTTATGTAGGGGAAATACGTACAAAATGAGATATATGGACAAAATGACATAGTTGACATAACTTGAAATTGGTGGACTCTAGCACGCAACTGACAACTGCATCATATGATCCAAGTATCTTTTACTAACCTACCAAAACGTGCAACCCTCTCATCTGTCACAGCGTCGTCGATGTTGACGTCTGATTGAGCTGATGAGATAGGAGTTTTGTACGTTACGAGTTTTTTCTTTACGACAACTGTTTCTATATAAATGACAAGTTTTTCGCTAATGTACCTATTGTTGTTGCATTTATTTTATCTCACAATAGTTTGTTGTTGCCCTCAAATAAGATTTTCAACAATAAAAATTTTTTGAGTGTTAGTTTTTGAATTTCCTTTTTAAAACCGTTATATGGACAACGACACACAACGGACACAATGACGTAGGTTTGCCATTTTGTCCTTAATCGCTCATTAAAGGAGTTCAACTTAATTAACTTAATTTATCATTATAATAGAATATATTACGAGTTTCTTAACCCCCAAAAGGACATTTCATTAGTGGACAAGGGAAACGTAAACCCAAGACTCGACAGATCTCTTTTGTTTTAACTGCTACTTGTAATACAGGGGAAATTCATGAGAAATTAAATCGAAAAATGAGCCCAAAGCTCCAGCAAGAAGAGACTAAACGTCACTACACAGTTGTTTGAAGATGACAGCGAAGACGAAAATGTTCCTTGCAACTCTCGAGTTAACGAAGAAGACTGTCCTCGCATATATTGCAGCGATCTTTTTTCTAGACCTAAGTCCGGAAAAGACTGGTTACGATGATGCTTAAATTGTTCGCATTTGGCTCACGCTTCTTGTCCTGATGTTCCTAGAAGAACAAAACGTTTTATTTGTAAACTTTGTCAATAATTGTATAGTTTTCACGTGTTTGTCATTTTGTCCATACGTACTATGTCATATTGTCCATTGTGCATGGACAAAACGGTTTTTGATTGATCTCAGTTAAACAACAAATTTTTTTTCTGTCGTTTTTATTCTATAAACGTTTCTCATCGTTGTACACCAAAGACTATTGATGTAAAATATGACTTGCTGTGTATTACCACTACAGAATTAATGCTAAAAAATAAAATCCTATGTCATTTTGTACGTCTTTCCCCTATAAATAAATAATTAGCCAGTATATATTCCCACAGCTGGACATACGACCGCTTTCACAGTAGCAGGGCTGTAGACTCCAAGCGAGCGGATTGGGAATTTCGCACACATCATTGCATTGCCTTGCATATGTTTTTCTTCACCGAAAAGCTCATGGTAAATTCCAAATTTAATTTGCATTTAATTCGCAGGCGCTAACCCTGATTCGAACCCACGATCGTCTGCCTAGGCTACACTGTTATTTAATTAAATTTTTAATTACGTAAGTAAGTAAAAAAAAAGTTAGTAAAAATTTACAGAAGTTTAACATCACAATCATAAGTCTTTGTAGTAAGGTTTTCGCTTTCTATTAACACTGCGTTTCGTACTTTCATGTGAGAATGGTCTCTTTTTAACATCCTAATGTAATCTGCCATCACGTTTTAACGTTCGATAGGCCTTGTAATCTTCGTTGCATTTCGTTGGAGTCTTGATGAAAACGTTCTTTTTGACAAAAAAAAATAATATAGATAGATTTAACATAGATTTTAAATACTAAAAAACACGTACGTATGGCAGAAAAGCTGTATTTTTTTTTATGATACCGAGTGATGGGCCCAACAAGTCGTTCAGATCCATAGCATTTGCAATGACGCTAGAGCTTTAAGTCACAATCTCATCAGATGTTCGAACCTGTGTAATCGATAGATAATTTTCAGTAAATATTTTTAACGCGATCTCTAGCTCTCTCGACGCTGTAATTTCATAATAAATCTACTTTACAACAAACATAAATGTATTTTTGTGTATCACGTCGTGCGCCTGGTGGTAAGTGATACGCCTATCCATAACAATTACAGCGCCAGTCAGAGCTTTAAATCGCAAAGATCTAAGGGATGCTGCCACTGCGCCCGTCACCCTGAGATATAAGTTGACAAGTCCCATGTGTCTAGGTAATCTAAAGATGATTTTTTCCTTTATTTTTACCGTATTCAGCATAAAAAATACTACACGAATCATTGATAAAATTTGAAACAATTTTTTCATCGTAAAGTGAGTGAATGATATATTTTAATAAAACAAAAGCAATCAATGGAATAGTCTTAAATTTTGAAGAAGATCCATACCGTATCCGTAGGTGGGTTGATGAACGACAGATATAATTTTACATATACCTACCTGAGGAAAGGCACCCGTAGCGTTAACGGCTACGACGCGGCGTAGCTTGAATCGATATTTATAGTGGTGACTATGCTTTACCGCGAACTACTGGGCCGCTGTTCAGTGGAACACCGCCATATTCTACACTGAATGACTCATTGACCAAACATTACTGAAAAGGCGTTCAGAATACGGTGAGCTGAATGGAAACATCTTACTCATGGTTTAACACTATTTATTAAACATTTTTTCAATTCTTTGTTGTCAGATAACTATTTGTATATTGCCATCGATACGGTAACAAGAACACTATTTTGTATCTATATTAGTCATATCCAGGGTGGTATTTACAGTAGTCCAAAAATTTTTAAGGTAAATCTAGATTGTTTTAATAACGATTATGACAGAAATTGTCAATTTTGTTTTTAGTGACAATTTATGAGGATGTTACAATAGATGCAACTCTACAATTTTATTTGTAAGCAATCCCTACATGTTAAGGTAGATTTTAAGGGGATCAAAAAACTCTGATTGCATAATAAAAATATCTGCCAAATGTCTAAAATAACGGTGCAATCTAAGAACAAACATAAAAATGGCTAATTATACACTAGCTCTATGGTCACACTACTTCCATACCACATTTGAACTAATTCACTGGAATAGTTTTCAAATTAAAGTGGTTTTAATGACTAGAGTAGAAAATGTTCAAAAAGTACATAAAAAGTTATAACTTCTAAATTAATGACTTTCACTGAACTAATGTTTATTTTAAATGAATTGTTACAATGCTCTCTATCTAAAAAAATAATTTTGGAACACTGTAAATGGGCCACCGTATATAATAAAATGTTTTTAAAACAAAAAATGTTCCCAATTCCTGAAATGTCCGGTGACCAAAAGTTCTACTTCCATGAAACTATAGGTTTTTAAGCTTGACGACTTCGGAATGGTTTGCAGTGTAGAGCCTGGATGAGCAGCAATTTAAGAAATTAACTTGTCTCAAATACGATCCGGGTGTTATAGATGGTTATTTTGAATATATAATAATAATAATGTGCCTGAAAATCTCACCAATAACCTGGTTTCAAACTAGGGATTCCCTGTATAGATTCCGGTAGGGCACCATCTAGAACACCCGTATATCTATAGTAGCCCCTCGGTTATCTCATGGCATAAAAGGTTAATTTTATTTTTAAATAAGATAAGCGGTAATTCACGACAATGGTACAGCGGCCGAGGTCAGGGACTTATTATTGTTATTATATTTAATTATTAATACAAAGATCGAACACTTAGAAAAAATCATTCGATCCGCCGGCTGGATTGGAAATAACTTCAGACGCTGGCTGAGTGAAGAATTCGATTTCTCACAGATGGCGCTAAGGCAAAAAAAGTCGTTAAAAAACAAAGATCTGTAACAAATACATAGAAAAATTCGTTAAGTCCGCTAAGTTTGTTCCGTGACTTAGTTGGCATAGCATCTGGCACGGTTTGCTAGAAGACGTTGGTTCGAATCCAGCCGGATCGAAGGAATTTTTCCTAAATGTTCGATCTTTGTATTAATAATTTTAAGAAACTAGTGGAGTAATTTCACAATATCATGGTAGTGAAACGACCTGACATTCAGTAAACTTAATTCTAATTATTATATTTGTTTATTTTTCTTTTTAAAGTATATTTCCTTACCTGAGAAGCATAACACTGTAACTCCATTTTTTACGATTTTGAGTTTTTAACGGTATCCTACATAATTTTTCGAGCTCTATCGACCCATAACACTGTGTCTACGAAATTCGCCATAGTAGTACTGAGTTCTTTAAAAGTATTTTGATGTAAGACCGCTACCCACTACAAAGCGTTTTATTGTAAGTTCGGAGTTACAGTGTTATGCTCAATTTTAGTACAGATACACTATAATGTTATAAGATAACGAAAATAAGTAATAGTATGAAGACTACGAT